TGCTTTCATTCAGAAAAACTGATGTTACATTATACATTCACATTTTTATGTGTGATTTACATGAAAATTTTAGCTAATCCCATTCTTTATTTTTTAATTGTGGTTAGTGAAACTTCTGCTTATACAGACAAAACTGGTAACCATGGCAAGATACAGTTCTCAAACTTGCTTCTTTTGGTAGACTTTGGGACTCTGGCTGCCCAGCACTTGCTGACCAGATATATTCTCTGCTTTAAAGAAACTGGCTTGGTGACTATGTCAGTCGCAGCTCTCAAGTGTTGCAAGACTCGAGTCCCACTGAATTCTCTTTAAAATGCAAAAGGCATGGAAAAAGCTGAAAGGCTGCAGTTCTTTTGTGCTGTTGACATGTAAGCAGGGGAAGACAGTTAGCTGGGCTAGCTCTGCCACCTGCAGCTCAGAGCCGGCAGAACAGCAACGCCTTCACCAGCCTACAACAAGCCTTCGCTTCTGGAAACAAAAATCTCATGGAGACAAGAGATTTCATTGAAGAGGGTAATTGCTAATTAAATTAGCAATAGAATACATAAGATTATGGTATGCAAAAGTAAAGTAAAAGAGAGCTTTCGCCTTGGTCTTTCTGCTAATCTTCACTGCTAACAGAATGAGCAGCTATTCTCAGAAAATAATTAGAACAAAAATCATAAGGCTTAAACCATTCTTGGTGTGACTGGAGTGGTCTCAGAGCTGAATTTGACTCTCCCTACCTCTGAAGGCTGATTTTGGCTCTGCTAGTAGCTGAACAGGAAATCATGTGTGGATCCATATTCTCAGAACCCTCTAACTCCTGTATACAGTGCCTCCGGTATCTCCTCGTATAAATCCCTTCTTAAAACACACTGGGTTTGAAACATTTTGAAATGTTAGTCTTCTCCTCAAAAAAAAAAAACGAACAAAACAAAACCAAAATCCTCCCAAAAAGTCATTTAAAAACAAAAGTCAAATTCTTCCAGATGTGTTTTACTAACACAAAGAACCATGTGCTTTATTGTGTTCCTTACTTTCACTTCCCTGAGCCCCAAGGGTATAACATTACTATTTTCTCAAGTTGGATCCAAGCCCTGTGATTGATGAATTGTCCATAGGATCCATATGGAACTCTAGGAAAATCCCTGACACTCTATACAGCACCAAAATGTGTGCATGTGTTCCATGTGTACCAGGCACCCACAAATTTCTCATGCCAGTGACTTGCCTCACTGTAAGGTGCTGTGTTCATCTGTAGTACCAGATCCACCTCACAGCTATGGCAGTGAAATAGCAGTGATTCTGCAGTAATGGACAGATATCGTGATAAATTCAAATAAAAAAACATGACTGGAAACTAATTCTAATAATACTGGGTTACTAAGCATCATGTGAAGTTCATTCAGTAGGTTTTAGGTCTGTGGAGGGAAAGTATGTAATCTATTGTGACACACATTATTCCAAATTTGGTTTAAATGGTAAAAGAAGCATAATTTTTCTTTCAACTTTGGGCTTCTTTTAATTGCCCACACACTTCAGATATCCTCTAGTGCCTGAAACATCCACATGGAGCCTTATGTCCTTCTGAGGCAGTACAAGCAATCAGATGGATCAGATCCAACATAACTTAGGGCATTTCACCTGGCAATAGACAGATGTGTGGGCAAATGAGACCCACCTTTTATGGTCCTCTAACAAGGAGCTTGGAAATATCTAACAGAAATATCTAATAATATCTAATATCTAACAGACAAGTGTTGCCATTAAAGGTTCTGGGTTCCTAGAAATATAAAATTTATTTCTGTGATCATATATTGTCACTGCACTAAAGTCCTTAAGTCTTTAGATATTTTCCTGTGTGACTTTTTGAGCTGTGCAGAAAATGCTTGTAGAATAGATTGGTTTTGTTGATATTCCGAATACTATTGTTATAGTACTAAAGTAAAGACTTGTACATTCCAATATTATCCAATTCTTGCAAAAAATGTTAAAATAGATGTTTTGGAAAGGAATCTCACAGAATAAGATTAGGTGATCTGTGGGGAATAGGCAGTTTAAGCCTCATGCCAACGAATGTAAGAATATGTAAAACATTTAGTTGGCTTTGTTTTCAGAAGTCACTTTGTAAAATGATGCAGTCAAACCAGCTTGCAGGTTACCCTGCTCACCACTAGTAGCTAAAGAAGGCAGGTGGTTTTGGCAAATCTAACTCTTGCAGGCATCTTGTCCCCACATTTTTAATCTAGTTTTTTGCAGAAACCAAGTTACTGATTGTCACAGGCAAGGTCCTCAGACTGAAGGTAATTGGACCATGACCTTTTCCTCTTTCAGGGATTTGGTTTTGAGTCACTTTAGGTTTCAAGTAGGTCTCAAATGTCACTGAAAAGGACTATGAGATTTATTATCAATCATTGTTAATCCAGTTCATTTTACATTTGTGCCGAATTCACATGAGCCAGACACTTTTAAAATGAACTTGTCACTATAGAGGTCAATGCCCTCATATTATTCACACATCCAGAGCTGACCTTACAATTTTCGTACTTTAGAAAGGGAAATGGTTGTGAAATCCCCAAAATCAGAAGAGGAATTTATGTGAGTCCATACACCTCCCAGATATCCAGAAGATGAGACCATCCCATGCTTTAGTGTAGAGGCCCCAGTGCTTGTCATTTTGAGTCCATGCGTGTGAGATCAGTCAGGCATTGCTACATTTTGGGTCTGTATCCCATTTTAATCATGTGTGTGAAGAGAGATTATAGACGGGATTAACATTCAAGATATCTACAGGCAGCAAGGACTGCATAGTTCTCCTCAGTGTGCATTACAGTTAGAGCACAATGGGAAGCATCTTTGCCAGATGATAAAGAAAAAACACTCTCTTTGTTGACAACAATAAATATATACAAAGGAGTAAATGTGTCATGTATAAAGTATCCCTAAGGAAATCTTGGAAGACCCTACATGTATATTTACATACTTTTAGTCCCAGCAGTGGTAGAACTACGTGAGTGTACTGCTCTGCCCTGGCTAACTAGTTTGTTAAGAATTATCACAGCTAGCTTTTTCATGCTAGTTTCATGCTATCTTCTCGTAATGAGACAATTTAGGCACTCCTGCCAGAACCCAAACTTTTAAGAACCAAAACAATGGTGTCCATTATGATCACAAATCTCTCTCTCTCTCACACACACAAAACCTGAGCAAGTGCCTGCAGTTTTCAGAATAAATTGAATAAGAACACAAAATACAACACCTCTTTCACAGCATAAACTGGATCCTGCACATACTTTAGGACCTGATACTGTTAATTCTTGATAGAATATTGAACCAGAGGAAAATCTGAGCCTAAAGTGCACAGCCTGATAGCAGCTCTCTTTCTATTAGATTATCTTGCAGATATTTATCTACAAAAATGTATGTAAAAAGTCTGTGTAAGAAAAAAGTCAATGAGGCAACTGCAGATTCAATTTCTGCAGTTGGAAAAAACAATTCCTCATGCTGAAGCTCTTCATTCTCCCTGCTGCTTTATGTTATCTCTATTTTAACTGCTGTTAATGAAAGTCTCATCAAAAGGCATTGCCAGTACATAATAATATTTAAATGCTGAATTAATCTCTCAGTCCTCATGGCAGCTCCCTTTCAGCTATTTTCCCTGCATACTTTGCATCACCACTTATACGAATCAGAGTAGGGTGCACATGGGGAGAAAGCGCAAACATTGATTGGCCCTGCAACCCAGAGAGAAGAATTTGCCTCATGCCTTGCATACTTGTAAAAGCATGAAATGAAAGCATCGCCTGCTGAAGTAAATCCATGGTGCTTCTTCAGGAAGGCTTGATAAAATTAAGTAAATAACTCAAAAGTTATGCCTTTCTGCAGTTGCCTAAGTTCTAATAATTAGACCAACTTGTTGCCTTACTTCTCTTGGTTAAAAAGCCCCAAACTTTCCCCTGCTTCTGGAAGTGGTTCTGCTTTGAAAAGGGACTAAAAAGGGCATGCAGGGTCCATGTTTATTCTGTGTCAGCTATTTCCTTATCAAATGTGCTCAGCAAGTAAGGAACCTTTTCTGCCTTTGTGCCCTGCAAATTTCAGGTGGAACCTAGGGGTTCAAAATCCACCTGGATTTTTTCTTCTCATGTAGGATGACCAAGAAACAAGAATCCTGCAAGCAAGAGTAAGCCCTCAATTACATGTGTGCAATTCTGTAGTCTTCTGTGGCTTTGCGTAAGGTTTAACTGACTGGAAATGATTCTGTGGTGATAAACAGGAGGGAATAGAAACCAGCTCACTGGTTTTTATGCTAGATCTGCTGTGCTAACAGAAGCAGAAAGCAGTGATTTTAATTAAGTGAACAGATAGAAAATATACAAGACTATTTTAAAAAGGTGTTTGCTTGAAATTCCATGTTTTCAGAAATCTCCAGCTTTCACACAATAGAGCATTCAAGCTGACAAGGAAAATAAAATGCTTCTCTTTTTTCTTGGACATGTCATTCATGGTGGAAAGAGAATGTATAGTCCTCATAACAAAGGAACAAGATTACTTGAATTATTTTACATGCAATAATAAGATAAAAGATTATTTATGAGAAGTCTTCATGTGGAGTGCAGCAGGTCAGAAGAAGATCACTGTGTGTACATTTTGCTGCATGGGAATGATAACCTGCTATGGGCATTTCATTATTTATTAATTCATCTTTGCAGCTTTGGCAATCAAGCATGAAAATTTTCTACTCTTCTGAAATCTCTGTGGTCTGGAAAACCAGAGTTGAAGTTTATCTGATTTTTTTTAATTATTAGTTTTTAATATTTAAGATAGCAAATAGTGAGTAAAACTTTCCTTCAATTCAGTTTTTATCCTACAATGCCCGAGCAGATTAAACTTAGGCGTACAAGACATACTCCATTAGCAAGGGTAAAAAAAAGCCAAAAATATACTTTCCAGCTATGTAAACACTGATCAACTGAGTCTTTGCTTGGATGAAATCATTCCATTCTGGCTTTTTCTTCCAGTTGTGTGTAATACTGGAGCCAATGCAGGAACTGATGTCAAGACATAAAACTTACAATCTAAGTCCTCGAGACTGCTTGAAGACTTGCTTGTTTCAAAAATGGCAGAGAATGGTGGCCCCACCAGGTATGTTTTATTTCCAGTATTTTACCTATTCTATAGTTAAATTAATATAGAAACAATGGGGAAAATTACTTACAAAGAAAAGAAATAAGAATTAACACTGTTCCAAAAGTAAGCCTGAAAATGATTCTGATGTTATATGATTTCAGTCTGACCCAAGTGATTTATAGATGTGCACGTTCAGATGGTTTCACTGACTAGGATATAATTTACTACAAAAATATGTGTAGATGGAATGCAAAATGCCTACTGGCTCCATTAGAATTCATCATTTGTGTAATTCAGCTTCCTGCTGTGACTCTAAAATTACAGCTACAATTCATAATTAATTGTCTTTGAGACTAATATAATGTTATTTACAGGCCTGAACCTAATCTCCTTCCTCTTACACCTCAAAATAATAATTCTCTCTTTTTTCAAATTATTAAAGATTTTTATATCTAAGACTATTCACAGGGGTGCTCAGGCCAAATTTTGAGAAGCACAATTGCCCCTCTGTTCCTTGCCTATTTAAGTAAAGTTATGCAATTGTCCTGATTTGGTCTGAGTTTGGAAGACTTGCTGACAAATGGCATGCTCTAACATGTTCTTTTGGGAGAAGAAGTTTTAAAGATGAAGCCCACAGTAGAGGCAGAAGGAACTCAAATGGCAGTTGCTTGTATGCTGCATCGATGGCAGCAGAAGGATACAAAGCTACCTTTAGCCTTTGCCTCTGGATGTGTCAGCTGAGGCTGTGTCAGAATAAGACCTGGAATTTGATTATAATTGTTGCTTGCTGTGACCTTCAGCAAGTTACACAATGAATTTGAGCATCATGGTAGTTATCTTCTTGTTCCCATTGGTAAGATGATTTTAAACTCGTGAGACCTCACTTGGAGTATTGTGTACAGTTCTGGTGTCCTCAACATAAAAAGGACGTGGAACTGTTGGAACAAGTCCAGAGAAGGGCCACGAGGATGATCAGGGGACTGGAGCACCTCCTGTATGAAGATAGGCTGAGAAAGTTGGAGCTGTTCAGCCTGGAGAAGAGAAGGCTGTGTGGAGACCTCATAGCAGCCTTCCAGTATCTGAAGGGGGCCTATAGGGATGCTGGGGAGGGACTCTTCATTAGGGACTGTAGTGGTAGGACAAGGAGTAATGGGTTCAAACTTAAAGAGGATAAGTTTAGACTGGATATAAGGAGGAAGTTCTTTACTGTAAGGGTGGTGAGGCACTGGAATGGGTTGCCCAGGGAAGCTGTGAATGCTCCATCCCTGGCGGTGTTCAAGGCCAGGTTGGGCAGAGCCTTGGGTGACATGGTTTAGTGTGAGGTGTCCCTGCCCATGGCAGGGGGGGTGGAACTAGATGATCTTAAGGTCCTTTCTAACCCTAACTATTCTATGATTCTATGATTCTAAATATCTTTACAGATAGTGCTGGGAAAATAAGCGTCATTATTCCATTATATAAAATTGAAGGCAGATTCTGTTGGTTTGGGTCCAAATATTATTACATGGTTCATATGTTAAATCTACTACTACCAGTAGTAAACATAGAAACTTAAAACTAAATGAAAAAATATTTCACCACTTCTGCTTATGGATCATTTTAGTGCACGCTTTACAATACCTGCCATTTGCTTTCCTTCTTTACCATTTTATTGCAGCAGAACCCACAAGGCAACCAACAACCAAGCGGAGAAAAAGGAAAAACTCTACCAGCAGCACTTCCAACAGCAGTGCTGGAAACAATGCAAATAGTACCAACAGCAAGAAAAAGTCAGCTGCTGCAAACCTGAGTCTATCAAGTCAGGTACCTGTAAGTCTCACCTTCCTTTTAGGCCTGAATCTCTCATGGTGCTTTAATTTTTCCCTTACACTGTAAAGAAGGTGCATTCTTGAGCCTAAACTATCACAAGCAAAAAGCGATCTTGCACAGTGTGCTGTGGAAGCTGGGGTATTAGTGGAGAGATGTGAAGAAGCCATTCTGCAATGCAGATTTAACGAATGACCCTCAAGCTGGGGTATACTGAGGACAAATGTGGTTTTCTTAAGGCCTGGGCCAGCTCCCCTTCTTGTCAGTAGGAGTCCTTCCACTGGTGATGGGACTCAGACTGGGCCTCATGTTCTTAGATATAGCATGAGTCTTGCAGACTTCCACTTGCCAGGTGCTAAGAGAGGATGAGTCTCTGTGGAACAAGACAGCCATACCTGAGCTGACCCCCTGGTGTCCCTACATTAGTACCTCACCTCTAATCTGTGCTGGAATCAGGTGCTTTAGTGGAACAGATTATGAATTTACTTACCTGTAGAGGTTATCTCTTTTTCCAACCACTCCACTTGCAGAAGGTAGATCCCCTGGAATATGGGTTTCAGCTAATCCACCCTGCTAGCTGTAACTTTTGACATCCTAATTATATAGGGAAACACAAATTCATTTCCAGAACTGTACAGCACTTTGACAATGTCACATTTATTGCCTTAGTCACAATATAGGGGAAATCAGACCCCAAATTGTAACAAAGTGCACTTTAGTCAATAAGGAGATAGCTTATGCATTTTAAAGCTAGGGAAATTAACTTGATATTATAGAAAATACAAAGTGGTATCTTGGGAATAACATGCAGGGATTTTTATTGCATTTCTGATCAGAAGATAGGAAAGGCCTGGTCTCCTCTGAAGCCTGACAGAGAATATTGGGCTTTTGTTAGCACAAAGCAGGCACTTCCTAGGAAGTCTGAATACCCAGATAAAAAGGAGGACTAGTCTAACACCAGTGAAATGGTTTGTTTAGCAACTGATTCAGCAATCCCCTAGCTTACAGAAGCTTTGGGTTTCAGTGCATTAAAATCATATTTTCTCCTTGTCATATTAAAATTTTGGTGTGGTTCGCATCCCTGGAGTCAGATGCTTTCCCTAATATAGGCATCTCTGGGTTTTTCTGGCAGCACAAAGCAGTCTGAAGGCCAGTTACCTGATCCCCTGGTGCCAGGGACCACCGTGTCTCACTAATTGTGTCTGCCAGAAAACCCCTTGGATCAATAATCAACCATATTTAAGAAAAATCAGCAATTAGGTACAAAACTGAGCAACCAGCTAGTTTCCTGCTGTCTCCAAGTTTAAAGGACAGTAAACTCATTTTATCTTGGCTACTCCCTGCCCCAAGTTCAGCTCAATAGGACTAGACTCTGACCCCCTGCCTCTCTTCAGTCTGCTTCTCCCAGGAGAGATGGCTTTTGTTGGCTTCAGTGGTAGCCATGTGTACTTGCATGTTTGAGTGTAACTGAGCCCTTTGAAAGTTACCTGTCACTCCCAATGATATTCAGGCTGACGTCAGGTACTGAAAGGTTACTCCTGCCAGATGAAGTAGTTAAGGCTACTCTTCCTGGTGGAGATACTTGAGCATCTGAGACATAATGGTGAAGTTTATCATGAAATATAGGGATGGGGGTTTAGTATTCATTGACTTTTCAGGATGCTGCATAGTCAATATTTTCCAATTTGTTTTCTATACCAGAGTTGCAAGATGGTCCCAACAATTTGTAAGGAAGATCAGGTTCCATTTTTAGGACTCTGAAAAGTGGAAAAAGCTCAGCTATTTGATTTGACATACAACAGCTCTTCTCACAGCAAAGATAGCAAACCAGATGGAATTAATGGTTGGGCCACCCTCCAGAGTAGACAGAACTCAAAATAATTTTAGCAGTAGGATATTTTGGTGTAAAACTATTCAACACTTTTCAGTTAAATAGCAAGATGTTTCTTCAAAATTATGCATTTGAAATGGGCCTTATTACAGGCATGCCACTGCTTTCTGAAGGTAGCTGCAGGTAGCAGTAACTTGCTTTCTATTTCTTTCACGTAACTTTACCTTAGAACTAATCATTCGATAGTTAATGCTTGATTTCCTCTATATATGATAGAAGACAAGATAACCCCAAACACTATTTGATTGTTTTCAATTAATCAAAACCTTCATTTGGCCATAGAGCTTTCTGTGAGTGGGACTTTCGTGCTCAGTACAAAAAATCTTCTGAAATCATTCATTTTCACTAGTTAAAGCATTTTCCCGCTCACTAGAGAAGGGGAATGAAATCACTGCATCTTATGTCCAGATGACTCACATAACTAGAGCTAGTTTCGATTCCATTTTTCCCATACACTTCTCTGGAGAATCCTAACAATGAGCTCACATCCATACCGGACCTGGATTAATATGAAGTCATGTACTTCAGCTTTCTCTTTTTCTCCAGTGATTTCTTCCCAGCCAGCACAGTCTGTCTACCATAACAGAATTTAAATCCTACTTTCCTGTCACTTTTATGCTTATGTGTTGTTTTCTGTTTGATAGTAAATTAATCCTGGTTAGATGATGCTTGCTTATCCTCTATTCTATGTAATGTTTCTTGGTTTAGGACATTAGTAATTATTCTGTTTCACTCCTGTAGTAATGCTGTGTACACTCTGGCAAAGATGTGAACTTCACATATACCTCATCTACAGTTCTCATTCACACTATTAACTTCTCCTTCTTTAATGAGATGTTCATGTCTGGAGGGGCAAATGTACCATGTGACTGGAAAGCAGCTGAATTACCATCAGCTATGACAAAGCTTGAAACTTCAGGGAGATTTGTCATTTTCCATAACCCCTTCCAGTTCTTCAGATAAATACATGGGAGTAAGCAAACCCCCAATGAGATGAACAGTAACTGTCACATACACATTCTTCTTCAGTAATACGAGGTTGTGCCATTTCCTCTACCTGCATTATTTCCTGTTCTTCAGGCAGGGACAGTGCTGACAATAGAGCCAAGCCCAAAGACTGCAATGATGTGGTTGTATCTCCATGCATGCGTCAGATAGATTGGCACTGCACCCTGAAGTTCAGTTGCTGAACCCTAATTCATCAGTATCATTTGTGCCCTTTGTGTTGCCTTAAATTTATTAGCACTTTGACTGTGCTGACACATTCTGATGCATTTTTAATAACAGAGTCTTCAAAAACATCTTAAGGGTCTCTGCCAGTGGGTGGGTATGCATCTTCCCTCTCATCAGTAATTTGAGAAGGGTCAGACTCTCTCTGTCCTCATATCTCTAACTATTTTTTATGTTTTCTCAACCCTCTAAATAAAATACAATGTTTTGCCCTTTGACAGTCACTTGCACTCTATTACACTCATTTTCCCTTACAGTGGTAGGAAAAACAGTGGTTTCTCTGATTCTGATAGTGCCCATGCTATTGATGGCAGACCTTCAGCATCTCTTGTCAATCCCAATCACTTGGGACATTTCTTGCCTAAGTGCCTTGTTACATATTACACGTTCCCTACATTCTTAAAACAAATGCAGTTAGCCAGTGTGCTCCGTGATTGCACTTCACAGCTCATGCCTACGTTGACCTATTACTTGTCCAGTGATGCTTTTAACCTGAATCCCAGAGGTGTTGACGCAACACATTGAAGAGTGTTGGAAGTAGAAGCAAGTGCCACCAAAGTCACTCCAATAGCACAAATATAGAAGCATTTTTCTCACCAGAAGTTTTCTTCTCTCAGGCTGTCCTTGGAGCAGGCTCCATACTGCCAGTGCTTTCCACAAATACAATGTCTTTTTTAGTGCATAAAGAAAGCTGAGACAACAGGGACCAGAAATTGTAGTCCCCTCAGCTGTCTTAGTCTCAATAGCTGCCAGTCATTTGAAAAGTACTTAGATTCGTTCATGTTCTCGATCATATATGAACTTTGGAAGAAACGTTAACTCATTGGGCAGAAACTGGAATTACCAATTTCCTCTTTCCTCAAAATTAAGATCAAAGATGGGCAAGACTCCTTCTGCAAGGTTCACAGAAAACATGGCTTTCTAATATTAGCCTATGATTTCACAGAAATTAGTTGTCTAATTTGGGTGTGTCATTGCCTTGTCACTTGCACAGTACTAATCTCTTCTGTTTGAAGCTAGCTGCAGTGTTTTCCCAAATCTTCGCTCAGTTTTCAAGCCTCTTTACTGGCTGAAATTGCATTCATTTACATTTTTCATATTCCTCTGTTTCAAATAAAACTTTCTTGCAAGCTCAGACTCTTGTACATAGAACAGTGACTTGTACACCGGGATCTGTAGATTATAGGTAGTACCTGCATGCATCAGAAGGGGTCCATACAGCTATTATCACTTAAGTATAACTTTCTCCTAAGTTCAATGAAAACAGTGTATATTGATCCATATTCATCTTTGAATTTGGAAATTTGACAGCAATGCACAGCTCTCACAAATTCTGAGAACCATTACTCTAGGCTGCTCTCAGTCATAACCATAGAAATTAATAAGTGGATTTTGCTTTCATTTACTAATGAAGATCCTGTTGAGTGTAACACTATAACCATGAACCCAGTGAAATATCATCTGCGTTGGAAAGAATAAAGCATCATTACATGCCACTAACTAAATCAAATGTTCTTTGTTACATCCAGAGTCTTAATTAGAGCCTCCTTGCATTCTTTAAGCAATACCTCAATAATCTCTCTTTCTCTTTATAGTTCTCTGTGAGCTCCTCAAAAGCCAAACCAATAGGTAAACCTGCTAATGTGGAAGGGAGCACTCTCTTACATGTTTCAGAAAGAGGTGGTGGGTTTAGGTGGTTTCTAACAGATGTTGTAGTACCAGAGCAGCAATGCCAGGGCCAGAAGATTAGTGTCAGAAATTATCCCATGTCTCAGAACCGTGCAATTAAGAATCTAAGATTTAGCTGTGAGGAGATGAGAGTGAGCAAATTGGTTTCCAGTTTTTATGCTTTATGAAAAATACTCCAAACAAGACCAGAATGTCAAGTTAACAGAGAGGGCCATGATGCGATGTGAAAGATAAACATTTTCCTCTGCAAAGTGTTTACTCTGAAACCTAATTAAAATGTCAGTTCTGTTTCTATAGATCATTTCAACACTAGTGTCAGTCTGATGCTTTTGTCTTGGGAGCAGTGACCATTATGGGTGTGGGCAGCAATGGGGCTTTCAGTCGTTAATAATTTTTGTGACAAGGAGATAAGAAGTCAATTATTGAAATAATCACCACTCATGCAGTTCCATAAGAAGGAAGGAAAGCAGGAGGAGGTACCCTTGTTCCTTTGACTTAGCACTTAGGGGCATGCTGGCTGCTAAAACTAGTGCAACTTTCAATCCTTGGAGTATGAGACTTGCTCAAACAATACACTTGATAGTTTCAGGCATTTTAAATTACCTCAGGCTTGTGAAGCACTGTTTGTGTACTTCTGGGGACTGTGACATCTGATCTACCAACTGATCACTGTAACACACTGACCAGGGCAAAGAGCAGCAAAGACAGTAGGCATAGGGATGGGGAATTCTACATGGCCCACCACACATTTTTACCACCACACTACAGTAAGGCATTGTGTAGCCATAGAATGATCTTTAAGATCCCAAGTTAAAAAGTTCAGTTATGTAACTGGGCATAGTTGAGCTAAACTTTGAGGCTAGGTATAAAAAAAGATGAAGCCTGAGAAATGACCGGTCTGTTAAATAGAAGTGCTTGCATTTGAGTTGTGTATGAAGTAATCGCTGTGTGTAGTTTATATGCATCAATTTAAGTTTGGATGGCAATTAGGGTTATTTCAGGATGTAAGGTATGATATACATGAAAGCTGCTTTTGTGGTTATATTATTAAATTTCTATCACGTAATGTAAAACATCCACTGCTTTATTTACAGTGCTTCACTGCAACCATATTTTACTATCATGAGACATTCCTTGACCAAAAATGTTGTTTCTAATCACAGAGTAAATTAATAAGATTGAGTGACTACAGTCTAAATCTTTTTTTAAACTAACCTAGTCAAATATGTACTACCATAACTAGGCCATAGCAGTGTATGCTGCCATGCAAGAGACTAGGGTTTAATTCTTGGATTCTGCTTCTCACTCCATGAGCAGGAGCTAGGAGCACTCCAGAGCTGCAGCCTCAACCCTGGGAGGGATGGAGCCTTGTGTCATTCAACAGCAGTGACCCCCACTGGCCAATTTAAGGAGAAGCATTGAGGGGCTCTAAAAGGAGTCACTTCCAGTCCTCCTCAGAGGTTGGTGGTCATTGCACGGGATCTAGTGAGTGGAGGTTCAATGGGGTGCACTCGGTGGGGTCTTCAGCTTTCAGTCTGAGGAGCAGAATCCTCTCTGGGGAGGAACCAGCATGTGCGCTTCCTGAGACACTATTTTTGCCTGACATAGCTATAAGTGGCAAGATTGTCAAGAATATATATACTATTTTTTCAAATGTCCTGTAACTAATGCTGTGATATCTATCTTTCAAATAGAACAAGGAAAAACTCCACTAACCTCAATAGAATTTTAGTTTAATTCCCAGAGAGACAGAGAGATCCTCAATAGCATGAAGAGAAGTGCAAACTGTCCTCTCAGTGGGTGTCATTATAATAAAGGAATCTTATTTGTAAAGAGTCTTAGAAATCAGAGCTGGACAAACTTACAAGGTCATTGAGCATCTCCCCGCTGATGCAAAATGTTTCCCACCACAGACAGATTTTGCCAGCCCAGTGTTAGGTGACCTGAGCAGCAAAGCTAGCACTGTTCCAGTGGGGTCATTAATCCTCAGTCTGCAGTTCTCAGTAACAGGAATATTGTTTTAGCAGTGGGGATTACATTTCTGTTTACTTAATGTCATCTTAGTACCCTAGTTCACAGCTCATCAGATTGGCCTAAAGTGGTCCTCTTCCTTTCAGCACTTGTAGCTGTTAAGAATATTTACCCCTCCCAATCATTTGGTGGATGTGATACATATTTAATTCCTTCACATGGCCTCCCCAGTCAGCTGTTCTAGCCCCACAGTTATTTTTGATGCACATCTCTAAGTCTCATCTAAGTTGCTGACCTTTGGCTAGTATGGCAACAGGGAGAACTTGAGGTCCATAGTCAAGAGCGTTGAAGTAAGAGGAACTGTTGCCACCTCGGTCTGTGATTCTGTATTTCAGCCACTGTGGTCCTTTTTGCCTGCCGTATCACACTGCACACTCAAACCCAACTTGCTATCCTCTGCCAGGTCTCTCTTGCCATTAACGCTCTCGCCATACAATGGGGTCAGGTCTGGTTCAGCAGTGCACACTGCACACTGTTGTTTAGAGGGGTGGAATAAATTAGAATAAACTTTTGGTTATAAACGCCTTTGTCTTTTAAACTTCTATGTCGCAAAGCTATCTGTGAGTTTTATTTAACTTAACATTTTATAGCTATATGGAGTAACAAAATACAGACAATGTAAAGAAGAAATCATGCAACAGTTTCCATCTAGTCACAAATTTTTCACATAGCACAGGCTGAAAATATGATATAAACATTCTTTTGCAGCATGTCAGCCTTTGCTGAGGGATATGAGAAACTGTAAATACTTGCAGGAAATAATTGGTATTGTTTCATGGTGAATGAGGTACATAGCTGATTAAAAAGAAACCTGATTAAATGCAAACATTTGTCTTCTGTTTGCTTTTTACAAATGCTTTTACATTCCTAAGGAGGAACAGATCCTTTAAAATATGAGTCTATTGACTCTGTTGATTGCTAGGATTCCTGGAAGGGCTTGTTAAATCAGCAGGTACAAAGCTAGACATCTGGAATTACTGCACTTTTACCAAATGCTAGCTGATGCCGTGCCACCTGAGCTGCATGAAAAGATGCATCCCACATATTTCTGTAGCAGTTAGCACAACAGCCTGATTCCGTTGAACAGAGAGAGCAAGAGAGCTCTCTGGCTTTGCACCTTTGCTTTCCAATCTCAAGTTTGCACCTTTCTATCCCATGCTGCTTAGGTTTTTTGCAGCAAATCTGTGATGCACTGGAGTACAGTAGGCGGTTTACTTGTTTTCATGGAAGGACAATTTGTACTTAAAGCAGTGATTAGATGAATTCTTTCTTTCTTGCATGCTTCAGTTTTTGATGACTACTAGCTTCATCAGTGTAATTATAATTAGCACTCTTCATCTTCCTTTTATGGTACCAGCTGGACAGATTGGTCCTCTTACTGCACAGATTGGCGGCAGGGTTGCCTACATGGAGTTAGGTGACAGGCACCATGAAATAACAGATGGTAAATTCAGGGCTTGTTGGCAATCAGCAGGTTTTTGCTAATGACTTAATTAGCTATGCAAATTGTCAAATCAGTGTGAACATTGTTTTTATCGAAAACTTTACCTAAATTAATTACCATAATTAAGTAGCAGAATGTCAAGTATACTGGATGCGTAAAAGGGCTTGGCTGACTATGGATAAGAGTTACCATCTTTATTAGAGTGCTGTGCTCCACATTGGAGAAGTCTGAGGATAAGAAATGCGGTTTCTTTTAAACTACTTTTAAAATACACATCTCGCCAAGTTCCAGCCGAGATGCACCCTGATGCCTTTCCAAATAAAATGGCTCAGGAAAGAATTACTGGATGAAGGCTAAATATTTCAAGCAGGAGTTTAAGGCCTGCTTATTTGCTTAAAATCATGCACTTGTTTCAGACTACCAGCTTTTCAGTTCTGGGGTTTCTGAGATCCAGAGCCATAAGCATGCAACTAGAGAGATGTGTTATAGCTTTTCATTAAAATTAGCAATAAAGTGTAAGCTGTCTCCTGGTTCCTACTATGCAGGAACTTTTAACTCTGTTGTTCAAATGTCACAAAGTTAAGAGATGCAAATTCTCTAACATGATTTTTTTAAGTTGATTTTTTCTCTCTCAAGGTTTCCATATAACAAATATTGGGTGCTGTTCACAGGATGTGATGGTGGTAGGAGAACCAACTCTGATGGGCGGCGAATTTGGGGATGAAGACGAAAGGCTTATCACTAGATTAGAGAATACACAGTATGATGCAGCAAATGGCATGGATGATGAAGAAGATTTCAACAATTCACCTGCACTGGGAAATAACAGCCCGTGGAACAGCAAACCTCCTGCTAACCAGGAGACTAAATCTGAAAACCCCACACCACAAGCTTCCCAATAGGTTATTCTGCAGCAGTACCCACCTCAGTGTATGTCAGTGGGTTATTAATTACTGTTGCACAGCATTCCTCAAAGTAAAATTTAAAAAAACACCTTTCAATGGATATCATTTCAAAGTATTTCTTTCTAAACTAAAGCTATCCAACTTTTTTAATTAGGGAAAACTCTTGTATAAGCTTCCATATAAATTTCTTGGAAGCATTCACATGCAATGTGATACTGGCACTGACCTCAGTTAAAACAATTGAAAATGAAATAGCATCTCATGGCAAATTTCTGACAATGTATTTTATTGGAAGGGGTTGTTTTTTTCCTCATCAAACAATGGCCATATTGAAACAAGTCATCAGTGCTCAGGATCTCATTAAGGTAACTATGTAAAACTTTTTACAATTGTAATATATTTTCTGCTTTTCAACTTGCACCTGAAATTTCTTGTTTCAGAAAAAGATCAGTTTTTAAGGAAAAGTAATTTAAAGTAACTTTTGTTCTTTCCTTAACTTTTCTTTCATCGGTTAAACATTTCAAGGATCCAGCATTTTTCATTTATGTTTAGCTGATGCCAGTAGATTCTCGTTCCATCATTTAATACAAAAAACTGAAACAAGAAATGTCTTTTTTTCATCAAAGACATGAGAAATATTTTTATGTGGAAAAAGACACCCAGTCCTATGAGAGTTTATGCTTTGTAAAATTGCTGTTGATCCAGATATTTTAAAGCCATGTAATCCATTAACTTTGTGGGCAGCTTAATGAATCTAAAACTTTTGTGTTTTTGTTATTGTACCTGAGTTGGCTTTGTTGTTATTTCTTTTCATAGTATATTTCTTGTATAATATTTTTGTAAAGCCCTCAAACCTTTTTCTGGTTTAACTTTTTTTTTCTTTTGGGTTTTGGTTTTGGTTGGGTTTGTTTGGGTTTTTTTTTGTTTGGTTGTTTTTTTTTTGATTCTGGTGTATTTATGTGAAACTTTATAAGAGAAACTAATTTTTTTCATTTACATATTAATATGTTCAATTCACCATGTAAAGACACAGTGAGTCAGTGTGTTATATAATACAACTGTATTTTATGTATGCTTTGCCAATAAGTGTGCCAATAAACTGTGTTAACAAATATGCTCTTATATGGTGCATTTACAGTTCCTTGCATGCAAAAGACAGAAACCCATGTGCAGGATGATGCACTAGGAATTTTTGGAATTGGTGTTTCACTGAATTACAGTCTTCTTCCAGCAGAAAAGGAAATCTACATTTCAGGTGTGAATCACTTACAGTTCAATTTGGTTAGAAGCTCTTTTTTCTAATATTAATGATGTGTAACACCACGTGTAGGTAGCATCAGTGAGAGCTGAGCACAAGGGAGTGAGGACATCTAGCAAGTGCCCCTCCACCCTGAACTCTGCATCCCTCGCCTTCCAGGTCTTGGGCTTATCAGAGCAGGGATTTCCACTCTGCTGAATTCTGTCTCATAGTTTTATGCTGAGTCCCTCAACTGGGGCTGAGAGGGTTTTAAAAATTCTCCTTTTTTCTTCCCTTTGCTGTCAAATCACTTGTTCACAGGAGCAAGCAAACCCCCTGGTCTGGTGCAGCCACTCTGAGTACAGCCCAGTGTGTAAAGCCCCTCGGCTGAGCCCAGAGGTACCCGCATGCATCCCAAGGCAGCTGAGAAGCCCTGCAAGGTGGCAAATACAGGGAGAATTACCAACACAGAGGTACTGAATCTACACAATCCTGCCTTTTGCGCAGGGGAGTGAGGTTTTGGTCTTAACTGAAACTGTACTCTTAATATTGCTGGCATCATAAAAGCATCTGAAGAACCCCTGTTTTTTTTTCTGAGTTGCTGTATGTATACCCAGAAGCCACTCTAGGGAAATGTGCCTCCCAAGCATACATACATACTATTTAAGCATGCTTTTGCGGAATGTGATTCCAACAAATAGTTTTGAAACCACCTTTGGAGAAGACATACAGGACAAAGCACCCTGCATGGCCACTTGGTTCTTCAGCAGGAGTCATCTCCCTGCCTGAAGGATGAACCTCAGCTGCCAACATGGGCCCTGTTCTCCTGCAAACAAAATCCTCCTTTGATGAATTTTGGTACCTATCATAGGCTTACAGGAAGATAGCCTAAAAGGCGCTACAGTATTCTGTAGGAACTGGAGCACAAGGATATCGACTGTAGGGTAGAATTTAAAGCTAAATAGCAAACATGACTGAGTGCATCAGCACAGATAGCAGTGTTGCTCCTTCATAGCATTTGCAGGAGGTAAGAAACTGTATGTCTATCATTCAGTGACTATATCAGCCCCAATTTTTCCATGTAAATAATTAAATTCACAATGTATTCCATTAAGGCTCCTATATAGCTGATATAACATTACAATTATACACTGTAATTCTAATGTTCAAAAACACTAATCATTCATATTACTTTTCCATGAGCACATTCTAAAAGGCGTTGCTTAGTATTAATCTTTCATAACTGGCACTACTATTTCAATTTTTAAAAGATTTATGGTGTCATATTATTCCTGTTGTTTCAGTAAATAAACATAGGAACACTTGAAAAATGGGTAACAGACTCCTTAGAGTGCCGTCCTTGAATTAATCTGGAAGGACACTTTCTCCATATCTCCTCAAAAGCCCTGTCTACCAGCTATCAATCCACCTTATTGTGCTTGGGGTGAACAACAGACGGAGCTAGCTGATTTTATTTATTCACTTATTTATTCATAAAAGAAATGTGCAAATGGGCTGGCTCAGTGAAGCGGTTTGAGGTGGGCAGCAGCTGACCACACAGCCTCGGCATTGCTGCTTCCTTCAACCCCATGCCCTGGGCTACTACATGAGCTTTTCTTACCATGTTTGAAATGACACAGTAAAGTCATAGAGAAGGAGCCTGTGTTCGTGTGCCTGAACCCATGTGTTTGTGCCTTGTCCTTGGTAACACTCCCTACAGGTAGAGAATTAAGGTACAATGATCACATTAACTACTGGACTTTATGCCTTTTGGGTGTGGGTTGCAGTTAAATGACACTGTAGCTCCATAACTATTTGGTGCAGAAAGTAGAAATCGTGAATAAAGATCACAGGTGAGTTGAAGTAACAGGTTTATGAGAGCTGAGGTTGCAGCCTGAAGAATGAAAGCTTGAAACCAACAATTAATTTTACTGTAATCTAATCTCACCACCTACAAGAACATTGTATCTCTCTCAGAAATTGGAAGGAAATAATGCTGTTGACACTTTCCTCTGGGGAGCCCTGCAGTTATTAAAAGGAGGAAGGAAATTTATCTCATGATGCTGAAATACATTCAAAGAGAAAGCTCTTGTTTGTTTTAGCAAAATGGAGGGAAATGCTGGCCCTGAGAAATGCCCTCACAAATCAGAGAGAGGAAATTCCAGCAGTTTACTTAGAAAAGTAGAATCACATAATTAATAAAGTGACTGAGTAAGAGCACTGATAACTGAGCTGGTTGCTGTTGCAAAGGACTTGGACCATGCAAGAGCAATAAGCACTAGTGGGTTTTGTTATTCTTTGAATTCCTTTGTTTAGGAATCTTAACACTGTTTTGGGGCTTGGGTCAGCAGAGTCCCCTTCCCAGAGAGCTCCCACCTCACATGAGCCATCGGCTGGTCTCACCAGCTACACCTCATGAGAACACAGCAGTTCTTAAAGCTCCTACTTTCTCCCTTTTCATAAGAAATATTTGCAGCTTTGTAGTCTTTTCAGAAAGAAGGTGTCCTCATGTTTCATCATCTATGCATTGGTGTGTAGGAATGTAATAACGCTGTAGGGTAATTCAATCTGGAAGGGACCTTGGGATTTGTATATTATTTGTATGCTTGCAGCATCATGAGGCTCTGTGAAAGTCATGAGTGGCTGATTTGTAACCTTCGTCCTGAAGAAGGTGCTACACTCACACATTAGGGAAGTGTAGCCAACTTGCGTCCTTGGGGAACAGAGCAAAAGTACCCAATGACCAGAGAGCTGCCAAGGAAAACAAGTCTTGAAGTGTGCAGAAAGAGATGGGGCTAGAGGGGAAGGAAACCACTGAATGGAATGGCAAAACACTGGGCATTACTGGGTTTTCTCTAAGAGAGAGGTTCCTTGCCCAGCTTCTGCTGCAAAACACCATTAAAGGAGCCTAAATGATAGAAGGGCTGTAAGAACAGGCTAAATTTTGCAATTTCATGACCTCCATGAAAGTCCCATTTTAGCAAAGACAGGATGAAAGAGAAAACATGGATGATTGATATTGAAGGAAACCCAGTTTGTGCCTAATATATCCTGGAGAAACTGCTAATGGAAATTGAATAGTCCTGAAAAAATTTACTGAGACTGCAACTCTGATCAAGTAGCCCTATGGTGATACATTACATGTCCAAATTAAAGCTGCCCTGGGGCACACATAACCCCAGCAGTTGGTTTTACTGTGTAGGACTGGATGATTTGTATGGTTTTTCTTGTTTTTTGACAGCATATTTTTATACAAGGCTAAGGCCCAAATCTTCTACTAGGTAAGAGGAGCTACTGAATATTTAACATCCCACAGAAGTGATGTTATGCTGGTGTATCATTATGCTTCTACCAGGAAGACTGGTGGTACCCCAGCATTGGGGAATGGCAGATGGTACCTTTGGATAAAGAGTCACTTTTGGAAGTCTCTAAATGTATGGACCATGCTGCTATGTTTCATGAGAAAATATGAATTTCCACTGAACACTCACAGTATTAAAATCTGTTCTAATTTAGTGTGTTATTTTGACAGCCACTAGTACCAGTTCTTTTCAAGGGAGAGGCTTTATTTGGAACAGTGATGGAGGAATCTAACTGCAGGAGCATTTCTTCTATGACCCTATGAATCAGTTCTGAAATAAAAGAACTATATCCCTTACACCAAGAAATAATTTTAATGGGTCTATGGGCAGACTTAATCCATAAGCACACTTTAAAACACCATTATGCAGTAAAGATGACATCAGAGAATAATACACTTGTGCACACAGAATCAAAACTTTATAAATCTAGGCACAACAGAGCACAACCACCCCAGCTCCCCAAGAAACTCCTGACTGTGCTTCCATCAACTTTACAAGCAACAGGAAGAGATTGATAAGCTTCTGTTTGGATATGTTACTAAATGCATCCCAGATAGCTCAGGTGCTGAATGCCGTTACAGCATATTAGTGTGTGCTTCAGCTGAATGCAGATAAATGTTCACCGAGGGCGCTTCCATGCCTGTTGGACATCCCCACTTAGGATCCTTTAAGTCTGTGCTCATAAGGGGAGTCTAAAACTCTTCAGGTTGTTTTCGTTTTCTTTCTGTGCATGGCTGGGGGGGATTTTACGAGGGTGGAGAGGTTTAGGGTTTGGGTTATTTTTGTTATAGTTTTTACAGTGCTTTATGGTAAAAATGCTTCTTAGGTGTCGAAGATCTTACCAGTTGTGATATGGCATGAGAACAGTTGTTAGAGTGTGTCTGGGGATAGGGGAGAGCAAAGCAGTTCTTATATCATGCTAAAATGAATTCTGTCTAATCTCTGGAGATCTTCAAGTTGTGTATTGCCCCAGTTTAATTAATAGCTCTGTCTCAACAACTCTGAATTCATCTGAGATACTATGTATAATTATATATTGAACAGCTATAATGTATAAAGTTAGCGTCTCCTTTGTAAGTGCATTAGGAAACGTTTTAGTAAATGCTTGATATGAAGCAGGCATTTAACACTCCTTATCACATTCGTCTGCAACCCTCATTTCATCACATAGAGTTTTATCCTCCCTGAGTGATCTCTTGGGGGGTCTGAGTACTGGAAAAGCTTTTAAGGACTGTGTTTGGTGCTTTCAGATGCTGGGTTGAGGTTTTTTTTCTATTCAATTTTCTTTCATCTCTCTTTGATAGCTTATGAAAATTTGTTTGCTGCTTTGCCCAAAGTTTTTAACTTTCCATCTTCTTCTGGCTACGTGTAAAACAAAATGCAGGATTCACTTGTGCTCCACACAGACAAACTCATCAAAACCAAGGTGGGCTGCTCCTGGGTTGCCAAGAGAGATCAAATTCAGCAGTCAGAAGGTGTGAAATTTAGGAACTAATGGATGCTGGGGCTTGTGTCTGTATTTGACTGAGAACTCCATTTTGAAAGGGAATTTTCAGCTGTTTTCTTTGAAATCTCCCCTCCAGGTTAAACTCATGTTCCAAAGGGTGATAACAAAAGGTGAGCAACTGAGACAGCTATCTTTTCATACAGGTTTTTCAGCAGCTCTATGACTTTCTCTGTGCTTAAATCACCAGCTCCTCTGATGTGAATGAGGTGTGAAGTGCTACAGGAGTTCAATTTATAGGAGCAGGGCTCATAGCTAAGGTGTCCCTGGACAGTGATCAAGAGCCTTTATTGTGTTTCCCAAGCTTTGTAGGAGCAATGCAATTTCATTTTTACATATCACAACTAACTCATCTGCTTTATGTCAACAGGGATAGGAAGTTTCAGGTTGGCTTTGCTTAACAAACTTCCATGTTTTGCTGGTATTTCAGCCTAAGGGCTCAGAAAAATATAACCTAAATCTGCTTTCTTTATCCCAGAAAATATATTATTTTTAAATATCCATCCATCCCCCCCCCCACTTCTTCCGCTTCTTTCTTTTGAGACAGAACTCCAGAACTCCCTTGAGAAGGGCCTAACTCACAAATTTCACACAGCAACATTTGGCTTTGCTGCAGATGCCAGCTGTATTCCTGTGAGGGAGGGGAAAAAATACTAATGGTCAGTTTATAATGAGTAACTGAACAGTGGTAGTCCACAGAGATGCAATGTTTTTAAGTTGAAGACCATGCAATAGTGGGATGTGCACTTTTCAAATGGAAACAGAGTTGTCAAGTATGATTTTATTGTGAGACCTGCAGTATAGCCAGTTCTCAAGTAGGGAGAGGAACTGCTGGGGAGGGAAGGAGAGGTCTCTGTACTGATTGCCTTTGAGCAGTCTGTCACTTCAGAAAGCAGCACTCTACAAGAGAGCAGTTTCCAAGAGAAGCCCATATACTGAGGAAGAAAACTGCAATCAGTAATGAAGGAAACCTTCCAGAGGTGGGCCTCATGCAGGCGGTGCCAAGTACCAGGGTGGGCACATAGGTGCAAGACCAAGACTTGAAAAGGAAATGGAATATTTATTTTACTTTTTATTAATTTTATTAATAGATTTTTTTTAATAACCTGTGATAACAGAGGTCAACACAAAACTGTTCTGTTTTTTTAACTGCAACAATCTCCTTTAACTGATTAACAGCTTGATTAATTTGAAATAACCTTTGACATAAACGAGACTCATGGGCAGTCTTACCTTGAAACCAGTGGAGTCATTTTGTCACATCAAAGGCTTGGCTGCAGTCACAGCTATTCTGGGACTGTTACACCAGGTCACCTATACCTCGCCCCCAGCACCTCTCAATCTCCAACAAACTGGTGCTTCCCCAGTGGAAGGTTTGTGGCCATTTGACTTTTCTGCCTGTGACTGCAGGCTTCTATGAAACAGCTAGAATAGATGTACAAAAATAATAATCCCCAAAATCATGATTTCTTAAATTTTTTATTTTATTAAACCAGAACTTTTTCATTTGGTTTGACTCCACTTTTCTTTGGGTTACTTCCAAATATTGACATTTGAACCTACATTTTGATTTTTTTTTCCAGATTTGATTTTCACAAAGCTACAAGCACCGCAAATTTGGTTTTGATTTAAAACAAATGCTTAAAAAATGCTGTAGCTAAGAGCTGAATATCAGATATACGCACCTCTGATTTAGCTGATGAGGTTACTTTCTCAAGGCTCCTGACTAAGCCACGATGTTGCAGAGTGAATTACACAGATCATGTCCTGCCCAGCTCTCTATACAAATATGCTTGTAAACATTGCACAGAGGTAGCTTGAAGGACATACAAGTGATATAGATCACCCAAAGCATCAGTTATTCCATCTTTCTCCTCTCCTCCCTTCCCTAGTTCCCTTCAGTATCTGAAAACAGACTAATCCAGGTGAGTCACAATAAGGGAAAAAAACTACAAATCATAAAGAGTTGTCAGCTCTGGCTTTCCAGGTGAGCTTGTGCCTACATCTTGGGATGTTCTTGTGGCAGCTGGTATTTTAAATGTGACCAGAACTGAACAGCCCTCACATAACTCAGCTGTTGTGTACCTGGGTGGTTTTATTGCATTTTCGGTGCATACAGGGCAGTAAGCAGGACTGACTCCTTCTCCCTTTTTGCTGTTCCTAAATCCAGGTTCTGAAGATTCCTACAAAAGGACTGCGCTGAGGACCCCACATTCTATGCAAAGATAAAAGGCTTCAGAGCTCAGCTGGCCTTGTGGCACACCCATGGCTCCTCACAGGAGGCACAAGGTGCCCTGGTGAGGGGCACAGCACACACAGCTCAGTGTTAGCTACCCCTGTCCCATCCTTCATCACCTGGTACCACCCCTCCACCCAAGCATCCATGGTTCTGCGCTGAAGTCACTCAGCCTTTTACATGACCCGAGACACTTGTATGTCTTAACATTAATGAGTCCTGACTGGAGCTGTGCCAATTTGGACCCCTTTATTAGTAGTATTAGATTCCATTGTGCAGGTATATCCACAGCTGTGAGTTATTCAACATAAACTCCTACTGAAGTAGAGAATAGGCTTCAAATAACCCAACAGGGAACAATTTCTTAAGTGCTAGTCATCCAGCAAATTCCTTTATTCTCAGTTTTTATAGCAGGATTATTCTACATAGAGGATATGTCCAGGTTATGATGTATTTGATTATTTATAGCAGGTATCTTGTGGCATGAGTTCCATTTTTAAATGGACAAGGCTTATTGGAACTAGACAGATGTGATGTTAATTTCCAAAACTAACCTCATTTTCAGTGGAGCCTGTGCTATTGCTTGTACTCTTGAGAATATCACTTTTCTGGTAATTTTTCAAACCCCCAGTTGTTTTGCTACTAAGCCTACTTCAGCCTGTGATTTCTCTGTTTCCCATATCTTTCCTTGATGATTATTCCTCTTTCCTAGGGAAATATTTCCCTCCCTGTACTACCAAATGGACCCCCCTGTGTGGAAAAAAAAAACCCAAACCCACTCTTTTTCTGTTCCACTCTTCATCATCCCGTGAGATCTGTTCTAGGGACGTTCGGTTCTAGGGAAGGCCCAGGAGCAGGTGTTCCCTGCTTTAACCCCTTTAACTCCTTAAACACCTCCCACCCCACTGAAACTCTAGAAACTCCCTCCTGTGCCTTGCCACCTGCCTGAACCACTGACCTGCACTTTGTACTGGGAAATGCATTTAGAGGATATACATCCATTTTCTAATGCTACTACACTAGCCTAAGGACAGCATAGGCTAGTCCTGTCCTTCTTTACGTGACTCTTGCTGGTGTATCTAAGTCAGGCTATTGGCACAGCACAGTTCAGTCCCTTTTTGAAGCTGTCATTATTCTCTGTCTCCTCACCCCCTCTTTGCTATTTAAAATACCTCGAACTGAACCAGTAGCTCTGTCAAGGACCTCTGTGTCTTCTACCAAGGGTGGTGTTGAGCAACAGCTTCATGTTCAGTGGTCCTGTTTACCCATCCTTTCTGCCTGTAGGTTTCAGAGAAGCACATCAGCGCAAGTCTAGCCTCAGTCCCACTGTGTTAAGAGTCTCTGCAGGGACAGTAGGTGTACTAGAGCTGCAGCCAGGCAGTGGAGTCTTCGCATATGATGTGCCTCTCTATCTGCAGCTCGTCTGCTCCTTTCCTCCATGTGATGAAGAGGCCAGTTCTGGAATGTGTATTCATGAGGTTATTCCACATTGAGCTGAACCATTAAAGTGCATTGCCTATGACTAAGGCACTTTTCTTTCTTTATTTTTACAATCCCATGCATTGTGAGGCACACTGGTGTGGTTTCAAAGTGCTGTGCATGGGTTTTATTTGGGTGGCTTTCATTGATTTTCTTTTTTTTCTTTTTTAATAGAAACTTTGAAGCAAAATTCTCCAAGTGCCACTCACAGCGCTAGGATTTCACTCCTATCCTCCCTAGTTTTTTGTTGTTTTTTTTTTGCAGACTATTCAGCCAGCAATATTCAGGGCTTTTCTTAATGCCTTCCATCTCCTCTGCACTGTTGGGAAAGGGCCAGCCGTCAGCCAAACAGCAAGTAAATAGACTGCATGCACTTAGTGTAGTGACAGGCACATATGTTTTTAGTGAAGAGTTTATTTGCCAGAAGAAATGCAGTTTGAGAATTCAGGTCAACTTTTGGTGAATCACTTTGAACTAATAAATATAAAAGGTGAGGACAGAAAGATTTCAGAAGTGCAGAAAAAGTTCGAATCAATTCTTCTGACACAAATCAGCTCTGTTTGGTTGGGATAGGCTACTCCTACTGCCAGTACGAAAGGTGGGTGAGGGCAGTAGATTCTCTTGCCTCAAATCCAACATCTAAGATGTGTTCAATAAATCCATTTCCTTTGGTGCCCATCATTTCCCCACCCTAGCCCCTCCCACCTCCTGTGCCAAAACTCCTGTTTCCAAATCATCCATTACAATCATCTACAACCCTTGATCCTTCTCATGAACGTGCCTAGGTCCCAGCTGGAGAACCCCCAGCCTCTACTACGCTACACCTCTTTCTAATGCTCTGCATGAAATTCTCTTTGTCCATATCCACCCAGAGCTCTCCAGCCTCAAGCACCTTCACAAAACCTCCCCAAACCCTCTTCTTGCATCAAAGATTTGTGTCAGAGAAGGTACTTGGCTCTTCCCTGTTGGCTGCTGCAGCCCATTGTGCCCATCTTCACCCCATTAAAAAGCCTCTGACTGTGCTCCACCAGTGAATGGAAGAGCCCAGAGAGATGCTGCACACACTGGTAATATGGAGTCCTGTCCTAACAGGTCTCTGAAGGCAGGAAAGAAGAGTTATGATGGGGGAAAATCTGACATACAGACCCTTTTTTCATGTTACAGTCACAAGAGACTGAAATGTCATTTGTATCTTGGCAAAAATGTTGCCCTTAACACTCACTTAAGATGTGAAAGAGCTGGATTCAGTCCTCACCCTCATATGTTACATGAGGGTTACGCTAGAGGGAGGGTGATCTCACTTCCTGTTGAAGGGCAAAGATGATCTCAAGAGTACCTGGGCCAAAGGACAACTAACAGATCCAAAGGGTGCTGGTGCTCTGTGCAGAAATTTAGTCCATGTCTTTCCTTCAAACCAGTCAAAGGGGAGATCTGAGCTTGGGTTTTTGTACCACAACACTATCTTGTTGGCCATTCAGGTGACAGGGATCACTCTCCCTCCCATCTACTGTCCCCTGTCAATCTCAAGTTCAGTTTTTGTCAGAATGAATAAAGAAGCCCCAAGTGAACTGCCCCAAGTATCAAGCTCCAGTGAACTGAGCATGATTCTTTCAAGCACGCTAAGAAATTCTGGTTGAAACCTGACTCAAAACGAAATTACTTAATTAACTTCATTTATTTTATTTAATGGATTTAATTTAACACATTAATTATGTAACTTCTTTTTCATTTAGTAAATCAGGGAACACCTGAGCTACTGGGAGAGTTCCAGCCATGTGTCCCTGCCATGGAATGACAAAGTCATTTTGGTGCCAGGGGGGCTGTCCCAGACACACAGAGAAGAGAGTCCAAGGTACCTGTAATGAGGTGTCAGTTTCCCATTGGGATAGGTAATTCCTCTGATTTTGGTGAAATCAAAAGCTGTGAGGTTCAAAGATCCTAATGTTAACCTGCTACAACCACACTAAACCCTTGTTCTAGCTTTCTGAGTTTGGTGAGTTTAACCTGTGCAGCCCCTGGCAGACACTTCAGCATAATGGTCCTTTTTCACAGGCATAGCAAATGGACCTCCAGAGATGTATGAATTAGCATACTGAATAGCTTTGCATACTTGAAAATGATGAAGACAAATATCGGTATAATGGACCACATCCTGACATTACAGCATCGGTTAGGATACCTCTTCCCACAGAGGCATGGCCTGCGACTGCTCTGCCTCCCACCCAACTTTGTGCTTTCCAGGCCAGCTACAAAGCTCCAGTCCTCACCCACACCAGCTGGGGGTCCCCACCTTGAGCATACCCTATTGTTCAAATCTCATCTCCCACTTACAAAACCAACACACCTGTACTCTAACTGTGGGTTATTTAGCAAACGACCTCATTTAGAAACTAACCCACTCAGTCCAATTATCCCTCTTCTTCAGCCACATGTCCTTATGTAGCAGCATTGCTCATTTATATGCTAATTTTACTAAGTCTACTTCAAAGGGAAGAATTGTTTGTTAAAAATCTTACACTCCAGCCTCAGTTCAGACCATCTCATTATTTACCTGCAAATTTGGGGAGATATGGGTAAAAGCTCTGTTCTTTTATGATCTATTGTCTAGGTGATCAAAGGAAACCATTCAATAAGAAGATCAAAAAGAGTCTGGCTCCCAGCAGCCCAGAAGCTGGCTCTGCCAACTCCCAAAGTCTGCAACCTCTGTTATAAGTAAAGGCTGATTTTACCATTAAATAACTTTTGATTACAAATTGGAGGGAAAAAAATACCCTTCCCATCATAGTCTCTTTACTAAGGTGTTAATGAAACTAGACTTCATATCAATATTATCTCAATTATTAGTCAAGGAATAATCACCATGTATATAGTGTCTCTATTAATAATCCTCAGATAATGAAAAATATCCCACAGACATAACTAATACTGCTTGATAAATTGCTGGTGGCCCACAGCTAACCCAGATTTTCTTTTTTGCATAGATTCACTGCTCAAAGGACTTTTGAAAACAGGAACTCAAGACACAGAATTGTTTACTATTTAAAGAAGGCAAAAGCAGTGACTGTAGGTTGAAGTATCAAACTGGGACACCTCATGTCCCAGTCTGTTAGGGAATTATGTCAACAGAGTAACAAGATGTGAGTAATGAATACATGCTTTTCAGGGCTGACATAATTCCTCAGCCTAAGGAATTTCAAGAATTGTGATTTGTAGAAATCCTACGCTTCTAGAAAAGATAACCCACAGGATTTTTCCTCTTCCCCACAAATAAACATTAAATAGCATACAGCTTTCTTTAGAAAAATAATGTGAGAAGTGAAAAAGTATGGACTTTCAGGCTTTAACATTCCCTTTCCAGTCAACACACTGTTATTCACTATGGTGTGCCTCTTTTCCACGGTATAAATGGCAATAAACAAGAGGCTGAGCACTCAAGTATATCTGGGGGCTCTGCAAGGGCAGCACAAGGATACTTTGACTTTTGAGATAATGAAAAGGCGGGGGGGATAGGGGACAGGGGGACGGGGACACTCCCAAGTCACTTGATGCATTTCTGAAAATGCAGAGAATTTTCCTAAAAATATTATTAAGCTACCTCTGGAGAAGAAAAGCCTCCAGTGCTGCTAGGAAAGGTATTTTTCCTGTTGTACTATAGCTGGTTTGCTTGACTCGGGATGTTGCAGTCTTTCCTGTCAGTCAGTATTAAATGAATGCCTCAGTAGGTCTTAGACAACTTTTAGTGCTGTTCTCGTTTGAAGCAGATCTAAAGCTGATGTTTTGACCAGTTGCTAGTATTAAAGGTCTGATGGCACTTTACAGGAGGGCTGGGGTGTAAATTTTGGTGTCCTGGCCAAATTCCAACATGAGTAATTAAATTCTGTCCATCTAAACTTCCCCCTGTGGCTTTAGTTGGCTCAGGTATTCTTAATTTCCTGTCTTAAAATGTTCCATAGTGTTGCAGCGGTGCTGTTAAATAGTTGTCAGGTTTCACCTCGGCAGTGTGTGAGATGATTCATACCTTACAGATTTGCAGATAGCTGCATTTCAGCGCAGCCTGTGAGGGCGGGAGGAAAGGCAGAGTAGAACTGACAAGGTGTCACAATGACTGTTTCCCCCATTTGTTTTCTGATTTTGTGACACTTCAGGAAAAAAAAAAAAACAATAAAATATCTCTATTTGATAATTACATAAATTCCTCTCCTCCTCAAAACCTTCCATTTCTTGCATACCCAGGAGAGAAGCAAGCAGCTGAACAGATACGTGCAGGGCTAAACGAAAACCCAGAGCCCAGACTGTGCCAGGACATGAAGAAAACTGAGGTCTACAATTTAACTGCTCTCCTTCCTCACCTCCACAACAGGCAGAACCACTTTTTTCATTTCACATACTCTGAAGCTTTGAGAAATTTCACTCCTAAATCTAAGCTTTATGCCCTGAAATCATTCTTATTGTAGTTTTTCTTCTTAAAATGTAGCAACAAAACACCAGAACAGTGCTGAAGGTGAGATGCACCCAAGTGAACGTGTACTTTAACTTGCTCCATTTTGTCCTTTCACTGCCAGTTTAAAAGCTAAACAGAGCCTAAATTGCACACACACCCCATCAAAATAAAACACAGCCTTTAGAAAGCCCTTGTTCAGTATGGTGTATGCAAGGCTGTTATTTGACACTCCTTCGTCGTTATCTGCGCTGTTTCCTCCCTTAGTTTGCTTCAGCATTGCAAAACTTCTGAAACCAGTCTGGATGGGGTGGGGAGCTGAAAGCATTCAGTCTCCCACCAAAAACAAGTTAGGAGGAGAAGCTGTCTTCATTAGGGAAGAGAGAGGGGTTTTTCTATTACCTGATTTAGACCCCCAAAAACCCAGAGTTGCCTGCCTGAATCCATTGCTCAGGTAAGAAGTGGAAAATGAAGCTTTTCACTTAAATACCAGTTAGTTTGCTTCCTAAGGCGGGAGGAATATCCCTGCCGTTTTAACACAAATAACATGTAATGTGTCTGCCTTGTGGTACAGCTCATGCATTTATCACGAGGTAGCAAAACCAGGATGGTAATAAATGGGTGAGATTTCATTCTCATACAACTTACTGAAAGCTCTCAGTAGCTCTTAAAGTCACCAGGAGCCTAGCAAACACCCACTACTGTCTTCTGCAGTGTCCAGTATAAGAACAATCCCTTTTACAAGAGTAGGGGAAAAGGCTGAAATGAATAACAACTCGATAGTCCTGTATTTATGTTTTCTCCCACAAGCCTTGCTTCAGAAATGAATCCCAGCATTGCTCACAGTGAGAGCTTTGTCTGACTCGTCTGCTCAGGAGCTCAGTGAGTTACTGGCTGGATTACAATTGCTTGGCTGCCCAGTCTACAGTCCTGTGCTAGTGAAGGGTAATGGGCAGACTTTTAAACTTCTTTAAATAAGGAAAAAACTCTTTCAGAAACAGAAAGCAAATATATGCCAAGTTTTATTAATGACAAACACAGAGCAGTAAAAAGGGAGGGAAACATAAACGCTGCTTTGGGACAAAAGTGTCTTGAAGAAGAACATCTTTAACTGATCACGAAGCTCTGGAGGATGGGCCTAATCTGTTTGGTCTAAGCAACATAATCTACTCAACTCATTTTCTGGCAAAAAGCCAGTTTTTCCAGTCTCAAGATTTCCTGAAATGAGATCAATCAGGGCCTGATCCTCGAAACCTGGAAGCAGTTGAATTCCCAGGAACCACTGTGTAGTATGCTAATAAGAGTTTTTCTGCTACCCTGAATGAAAACAAAGTCAAGCACTTTCTTAATCAGAATAATCATTGGCTATGTAAAGCCAAAAAGTGATGAAAAATAGGGTGCTGGAAGTCCCAGTAAGTAAAACTCTGTTTAAAAGTCAAGAGTTTTCACTTTGTCCTCTGTGAACGTAGGCAGTGATTATTTCCTTGAACTGCTCTGATCCTGCTGCCCTTACACATTTTAAACTCCCACTTCAGTCACTGGGAGTTTTCAGAGCTACTGGGTTGGGCTCATAAAAGTCTGTCACAGATTGTATGACACATCAGCACTCTTAGGGCTGATTAAAGGAACAGACGTGTCAATAGCAGAGGAGACCTTTGCACAAATAGGATAGCGACACCATGTCAATATTTTCCTAATGTGTGAATAAGTGCTGTGAAGGACAGGGCAGACAATATTCAAGAAGCTGAAGTGTGGGAGATGATTGAGAAAGCTTGCTGAATTCTTATCTAAACACTAAAAAGGAAATATTAAATATTAAATCAAATTATTAATATTGGAATATAATATGTTAACATGACACTTCACCTTCTCTAAAGCAGCCTGTTACCACTTTGCCCTGGATATATAGTCATGCACTAAACAACTGATATTCTGTTACTGCTTTCCAATATGGGTTAAATGGGGTGAAAAAGCTTTCTTTTTGTCAGAAAGAGAAATTTTCTAGACAGGATTGGATGATGTGGTTACTAGAGGTGGCAGTAGTAGGGGTACATATGGAGGGCCTGGCCTTTGCAGCATGTAGGGATAGAAGTATGAAATGGTGTTAAGCCATCCTGAAGTTTCCAGCTCCAGGACGAGTCCTGTGCACAAAGTAAAGCAGTATTATTTTTCTTCTGTCTTATGCCTTAAATAAGGCTCAGAAACAGCTAATTGTGTAAGCATAATTCTGCATTTTTAAGATCACAAACTGATCAGTTTAATTAATTTAGTATATTTATTTACTTACTTTAAGCTTAAATAGAAACATCACCATCTAGGTATATGAATGCTTCTGGAGAAGCGTGTTTGGGACCATCTGGGGATCCTACAAACATTTTAACCTTGTCCTTCCAGTACCAAAGTCAGTGTT